GTTTAAAAATACCACCCATACTGTTCTTGTGCCTTTATTTCCAAAGAATTTGGCTGCATTTATTCTCTTCTGTGGTTGGAGGCCAGTTTAAAGAGGTGCACAATACAGCTGAGGTGAATGGTATCTAGTGGGAAGAGATGTTGCCTCTGAGTCCCGAGTCTGTGTCTTGAAGGGCCTGTGCCTAAGACAGAGCCCAGTCATAGAGGGGGAACATTAGCCTTTGAGGCCCTGAATTCCTCACTAAAAGGCTGCTTCATTTCTAAAATGCCTTTTCCAAAATGTATAGTGATTGCCTTGAAGGTGCATTCTGAAGAGATGACCTTATTTCTCATGCTTTCTTCTGTCAGATTATGAATTCAATAATGAATACCAGTGTTAGACTGCTACTGTGTCTAAAGCTCTTCTAGTAAAAATTTCATCTGACCTTGAAAATGGATTTTATCCCTCATCTGCCACCTGCCTCTTCATCTGCAGGGAAGTTTTGCCTGTATTAGCCTGTATTTGTTACCCAGAGCCATTATAAGAAGAAAGAAAAAAGAACTAAAGAGTTATTGCTAAACTCTCAGATTTTTCTTTCACAATTTGAATAATAGTGAAGTTAAATCATAAAAACAACATAAAACTGAGAAACGAAATACACTATATGGATTTGGATATACCACTATCCAGATAATTATCTCCAAAACATTATAAGACTCTACAAGAGGTTCTCTTCCTCCTCCCACCCAGGCCCCAGCATAGCAATGTAAAGGGTAATGCCGAGATCTTTTTAGTACCAGCTTTGTGCTGTTTAATACGTTCTTCATACTAGTTTCCTAAATGACTGACTGGCGCCAAACCAAGTAGGAAATGGGAGGAAGTTTAAGGCATTTTTTGTTGTTGTTGTTTTTAATGCTTAAGAAGATACCTCTCTTGATTAATTCATTGTATCTCCCCCACCCAAATACTTTGGAAGTTTGCTTAACTGAATGGTGGGGACATACGGGGAGAGGCAGGGCAGGCAGGAAGAGTGGTTTCCACAGAGTTATTGAGCTTTAACAGATCAATGCGGCAACTCTAGAAGCAGAATGTGCTGTTCACATGTTGGCAGTCCGCTGATGGCCACCAAATCCATGACTTTTGTTTGTACATTGAAGATAGTTATGAGGTGCAAAAATAACAAATCACCTTAAAGCCCAAAGTTTTAAGTACATATTTTTACTGTCACTGGTAAATACACACACACACACACACACACACACACAGTGGCTTTTGTACTGATTTATATACCTCATCTATGACGATTTGTTTTGTGATACCAATTCATCCATTCATTCGTCTGTCCGTGCATCCATCAGCTATGTAATGCATTCCACACATTAACATAAGAAATTTAAAAAACATTCAAGCAAATATAGTTGAATACCTCAAAAATTTTCTCTATAAATTGACAATCAATATTATTTTACTTCCAATAATTTTATGAGCTATCCCTTTGTTTATCATACTTTCAAAACCAGGAAACTTGCTTATAATTTCAAAAAAGATGGGCTGTAAGACCCAATTAAATATTCAGAGTGAGTTCTGAGTTTTCATCTCATTTTGGTGTGCAATACTAAATGTAATCAATCATACTAGAGAATATAAGAATTTGTAAATGTTATTCTCTCTAATTTATTTCTAGTTTCTTACAAAAACGATTTGAGGCAGTATACAATATTAAAATATGTATATACAACAAGACAATCAAAAAAATCATTTGAAGCCAAAAAAAATTTTTATTTTAACTGTATGTCACCAAATACCTGAATTGGGTTAATTAATTTAGTTGAATATTAAATTTAGCTATGAAATTCTGACAACCAAAGCAAACTATATTCTATTCTTATTGTTCAAGTGTGCCTGTGAGAGCTTCTGGGTGCTCAAGCTTAGTGATTACTGAGCTAATAAACTGCTGCTAAGAATAGTATGTGGGAGCTATCTGAGCCAGGCCTTGACCACTAGCCAGGAGCCCCAGATTCCAGTCCTGTTCTTGACTCACTTAAAGTGGTTTATGGGCCTCTAAGGATCAAGCTATTCATCAAGTCATTATATCATTTATTCAGATTGCTAAGCTATGGTCCCTTGAGCCAGTTTTTTGTCCTTTGGGGTCTCTGCCTATTACTCTGTTTGGGAAAAATCATCAGTGGTTCAGCATGAGAAATAATGGGGGCTGGACAAGTTCTGATCTAATTCCTATGTAGGGTCACCCCAAATCTCTCCAAGGCTCAACTTCCTTTCCTGCATTAGGTTTATGACAGCTCTAATACATCCAGATGGATTGCTGAACTACTTATAATGTAGTCTGCAAACTGGCTTGGGGTCTCAAATTGTTAACTGTTGGCAGAGATAAGAAGCTTATACTACAATATAAGTCAACTATGTCACTAACACACTATGTAGTTCAAGTGATTCTTTCCTTCCTCCTTCTCTCTCTTTCCTTTCTTTTCTTCCTTCCTTTTTTTTTGGTGGGAGGGAGGAATAGCAAGACTGTTTTGATGAAGACAGCAGTGTATCGAATTCCATTCTAACACAAGCTATTTGTCTCATTGCAGATGGGCAATTTGGTTAGGGGCCAGTTGAGGTCAATGGGAAGCAGTAGATGTGACATATATGCAAAATGTCATTAATATGTCTGAAAAGAAAAATAATTGTACAGTAACTTGCCGTTAGTTTAGAAATCATGTACAAATTGTACAAATAAACTTTACAGTGGTATGGGAACATCTGTTCATTTATTTATTCATTCATTCATTCATTCATTTGCTGTGCATCTATTAGATGTCTAGGACCAGGTTAAGGTCTAAATGTTGCTCCGTGATATTTTTGCCTTGATGGAATGGAAGAGCACAATAGCAATTATGAAGTGGTATAACTACTCTTTCTCACATTAATGCCATGTTAATCTTGCTATGAAAAAATGGAGAGGAACACTGAATTACAGTAATGCTTATTCTATTGCTAGGTGAGAATTCTGAACTCTCTGGCTTAGAAAGGATCTTAGCCAGATGTCAATTTCCAAGGGAGGTTAATCTGACCCCAAAACCAAGCAGTATGCCACTGTGGAAAAGGAAAAACATCAATAATGCAAAAAATGGGTGGAAGAAATGCTACTTGTTGAATAAAAACATAAAGGATCCTCCAATGTCAACTATAGTTGTCAGGTAGGTGTCTAATTTTTGTCCTTTGTGGACATACTTAGAGATATATAGGGTGATCACAAACTCTCTTTACAGTTTAGTTAAAAAATGACAACATGGTCTTTGAGATAGACGAGCATAAAAATAAGCCTTGCTCTGTATAAAAGTACATGAACCTCATTTTCAAACACCCAAGCATCTGGAGGAGCCCTCATTGGGAGAAAACTTGTGGAGATAGGAGCAAGTATATGAGTCCTTCAAGGTTCATTCATGTTGTAGCATGTATACTTTTTAAGGCTGAATAATATTTCATTGCATATATATACCACATTTTGTTTCATCAATTCATCTGTCTATGGACTTTTGGGTTGCTTCCACCTTTTGACCTGACAATTGTGAATAGTGATAATATGTATAAGGGTATATAAATATCCGTTCAAGTGCTTACTTTCAATTCTTTTGAGTATATACTCAGAAATAAAATTCCTGGATCATATGATATTTCTATGTTTAATTTGCTTGAGTAACTGCCATACTGTTATCCACAGTGGCTGCACATTTTACATTTTCAGCAGCAACACACAAGAATTCCGGTTTTATTATAGATGTCTAACCAGCGTACTGGTTAAATAAATAAATTTATTTAAAAAATTTATTTTTAAATAAATTTATTTAAAAAAATACTTATTGCCCTAAGAAAAAAAAAAAAGAATTCCAAATCTTTCAATTCCTTGACAACATGTGTTGCTTTCTGGGTTTTTGTTTGTTTTTGTTTTCGATAATAGCCAATCTGATGAGTTTGATATAGTATCTTATTGTTTTGATTTGCATTTACCTAATCATTAGTGATGTTGATAATCTTTTCCTGTGCTTATTGGCCATTTGTATATCTTCTTTTGATAAATGTGTATTCAAGTCCTTTGCCCATTTTTTGTATTGAGTTATTTGTTTTATGTTGTTGACCTGCAGGTATTCATTATATATTCTGGATATTAATCCTTTATCAGATATATGATTTACAAATATTTTTTCCTATTCTGTGGATTTTCATTTTGTCGATAGTTTCTTTCAGTGAACAAAAGTTTAAAATTTTTGATGAATTCTCATTTATCTATTTTCTTCTTTTATTGCTTCTGGTGTCATATCTAAAAAATCATTGCTAAATCCAATGTCATGAAGTTTTTCCCTGATGTTTTTTGCCAAGAATTTTATACTGTTAGCTCTTATGTTTAGGTCTTTGCTCCAATTTGAGTTAATTTTTGTATATGGTGTAAAGTAAGAGTCTAACTTTGTTCTTTTGCGTGTGGATGTCCAATTTTCCTAGCATCGCTTATGGAGAAGACCATCCTTTTCTTATTAAAGGGTCTTGGCACCTTTGTTGAAATCATTTGATTATATATGCAAAGGTTTATTTTGAGTTCTCTATTCTATTCCATTGGTTTATAGGTGTGCCCTTATGCCAGTACCACACTGTTTTGATTACTGTAGCTTTGCAGTAAGTTTTGAAATTAGGAAGTGTGTCTGTCAACTTTTTTTAAAGAATATTCTGGCTAGTCAGGATTCCTTGAAATTCCATATAAATTTTGGATAACTTCTAATATTTCTGCAAAAAAGAAAACATCATGAGGATTTTTATAGAAATTGCATTGAATCTGTAGATCACTTTGGGTGGTCTTAATATCTCAACACTATTAACCTTTCCAACCATGAACGTGGGATAGCTTTCTATTTATTTATGCCTTATTTAATTCTTTTCAGTAATGTTTTGTAGTTTTCATTGTACAAGTCTTTTGTCTCCTTGGTTAAATCTATTCCTGAGTATATTCTTTTTGAGGTTATTGTAAATGGAATGCTTTTCTCAATTCCCTTTTCAAGTTGTTCATTGCTACTATATGGAAATGCAACTGATTTTTGTGTGTAGATTTTTGCATCCTACATTTTGATAAATTTATTAGTTCTATAAATTTTGGTGGAATCTTTAGGATTTACTGTATGCAAGATTGTGTTGCCTACAAACAGATAATTTTACTTCTTCCTTTCCAATTTGAACGTCTTTTATTTTCTTGCCTAATTTTTTTGGATTGAACTTCTAGTATGTTGAATGGAAGTGATGAATGCAGACATCCTTGTCTTGTTTCTGATCTTAGAAGGAAAGGTGTCAGTCGTGGAAAGATGTCATCTTTTAGGGTGCTTATCGCTAGTGTTTTCTGATTGTTCTGGTGAGAAATGCACTCACAGAAACCTTTCAGTAAATATATTTAAAGTTCCAGGAGTGATATGGCCCAAATGTTTCTGCATGACATGGCTGGCCTTGGAATGGTTGGTCACTGACCTTTCCCTCTGAATTCCCCTCTAGAATTAACATTCACTGATAATGTTCTGAATCAGATTTTTAAAAATTGTTTAAAAAGTAGGTTTTTCATATATGGCCTACATTATGTTGAGGTAGTTTTCTTTTATTTCTAGTTTGTTTAGGGTGTTTATCATAAAATGATTTTGAATTTTGTCAAATGCTTTTTCTGTATCAATTGAGATTATAGTGTGTTTTCTTTTCTATTAATGTGGTATATTACATTGATTGATATTCATATGCTAAACTATGCTTGCATTCCAGAAAAAGAATCTTTCTTGGTCATAGTATATAATTCTTTTAATATGCTGTTGTATTTGGGTTTGCTGGTTTTTGTTGAGAGTTTTACATCAATATTAATAACAGTATCTGTAGTTTTATATTTTTATTTAGTGTTTTATTTAGAATTTATATTTTTATTTAGTATCTTTGTCTGGCTTTGGTATCAGGGTAATGTTGGCTTCAAAGGATGAGTTAGGAAGTATTCCCTTCTCTTCAATTGTGTGGTAGAGTTTGAAAAGAAATGGTGTTAATTCTTCTTTATTATTATTTTTGTAATTAATTAATTAATTTATTTTATGGTGACATTGTTTAACAAAATCCAATGAGTTTCAGCTGTACACTTTAACAGTAACCACTAGTCTGGTAACCACTAGTCTATAGTCCACGTCTATGAATCTCTGTTTGTCCTGTTCAGTTGTTGCTTTTAGTTTTATATGTCACATATAAGTGATATCATGTAAATTTCAACCTTTTTCTGTCTGGCTTATTTCACGTAGCATGATTCTCTCAAAATCCAACCATGTTGTTGCAAATGGCAGTATTTCATCTCTTCTTATGGTTGAGTAATATTCCATTGTATATATGTACCACAGTTTCTTTAGCCAATCATCTGTCATAAGTTGCTTCCATGTCCTGGCCACTGTGAATAATGCTGCTATGAACATGGGTGTGCAAATATCTTTTTGGATATGAGTTTTCAAGTCTTTAGGGAAAATACCCAGTAGAGGTATTGCTGGGTCATATGGTAGATTAATTCTTAGATTTTTGAGGAAACTACATAATGCTTCCCACAGTGACTGTACCAATTTGCAGTCCCACCAGCAGTGTTTGAGGGTTCTTTTATCTACACAATCTTTCCAACATTTGTTATTACTTGTGCTGTTGATTATAGCTATTCTAACAGGTGTGAAGTGGTATCTCATTATGGTTTTGATTTGCATTTCCCTAATAGCTAGTGATGTTGAGCATCTTTTCAAATATTTGTTGGCCATTTGTATGTCCTCTAGGGAGAAGTGTCTTCTGCCCATTTTTTGATTGGATCATTTGTTTTTTTTGTTGTTGTTGTTATTGAATTGTATGAGTTCTTTGTATATTTTGGATAATATCAGAGGCATTGCTTGCAAATATATTTTCCTATTCAGATGATTGTCTCTTTACCTTGTTGATGGTTTTTTTTGATGAGCAGATGCTTCTTAGTTTAAGGTAGTCCCATTAATTTATTTCAGCTTTTTCTTCCCTTGCTTTTGAAGCCAAATTCATAAAATCTTCTTTAAGTCCAAGGTCTTTGAGTTTAGTTCCTATGTTTTCTTTTATGCATTTAACTGTTTCAGGTCTTTTACTTAGGTCTTTAATCCATTTTGAGTTAATTTTGGTGTATGGTGATAGACAACAGTCTAGTTTCATTCTTTTGCAGGTGGCCTTCCAGTT